GAAACCTTTGTACAAAAAATATTTATATCATGGCTGCAAGTTAACAATTCGTTCCCACGACTTTAAATTAGTCTGTGACAGTAATGTGTTATTATTCAGGTACACTGGGGAAAAAATGGTGGTGAAACAATTTTCATTGACAAAAAATGGCAAATAACTTAGGTTATAACCTAAACAGAAGGGGAAGACTGAAATAGCATATTCTTTTAAATGATACCCCAATAATCATTTACATAGTGTCGTTAGAAGTTAACTAACTAACTTTAACCTGCTCAGCAAGATTCTTCATGACAGGCGTTGACCTGAAAGATAAAAACCAAGACTAACGGCCACTATAGCGTCCCCTGTGGGACAACACAATACATGCTTGTTATGAATTGCATCAACACATTTCTGAAGACAATAGTAATGTGTGAAATCACGCTTGCATAGCTAGAGAGGTGTTTGCGTCCCATTATTACGGGGGCCTGCCCGAGTGTTGCATGGACTGCATGAACTTTGCAGACATTGTACATGAAACAATGTTCAACCCAAACGGTAAAAGTGGGAAAATATAAGCTTGCTGTTCTTGTGAGTCACTCGGGACAGACCAAATCACTCCCAGGCCCACGCCAGCATGTTTTCAGAGCCTCTGGTGGACCTGTGTGCCCAGCTGTGTGCTGCGGCCGACCCATGCCAAGCTCTTGATTGAAGCCTGTGGATCCGTGTGCCAAGAATCACAACTGCTGGAATGCCTGCGCTGGAACAGCTCGGCTCGGCTCGGCTCGGCTCGCTCCATTCCTCTCTAAGTGACCATAAAAGGCTGAGAGGATCGTTCAAAAGAAACCGGAGTGCATGCAGAAGGAAAAGCTCCAAAGCCGTTTCTTGTAATCTAAGGTAACATGAACAAAGGTCTGACGGAGGCTCACTTCCGAACACGTCACGTGAGAGATTTAACACTCCGTTCGTGCTGAAAGTTCATCAAATGCGAGAATGCATATTCATCTGGTGTTTCGGTCACGAGGAAGGTGCTTGAGAAGTTCGATGCAGATTCCTTCAAAATAACTTTGAGCCAAGTCAGGTCACTGTGCATCCATGTTGCCAAAGCAGATATTTTCAGGACAACACAAGTGCAGCTCGAGAGATGGAAGTTTGACAGGTTAGCGCCGCTGCTGGCAGGTGCCATAACTACACCTGCTGTGTGTAATTAGTCACATGACATTCACGGATCAGATGATTGGTTCAACAACTGTGTTGATGAGCAAACAAACGGCTAATCAGCAAACAGCTGTGAGTAAAGTGACACATGTCTGACACAATAAACCAGACAAAAACGAGGAAGCATGGTCACCCTAGATTTAGAATATTTAAATCTTTAAAAAATTGCTAAGCTTATGTTTTATTTTAAGCTCTTTTTGAACCTATATGAATTATTTATTAAATAAATTACGTTGATTTGTATTGATATAGTCAATTTCTTTTTTTTTTCAGCTGCCTTCTCAAAGATTCGGTGTTGTTTCCTGGCTGTACATGCATTAAATCCAATTCAAGATATTTGTCATAGCTATTTTTAATCTTCTGCATAGAAGAGGATTGTTGTGTGTGATTGGCTGTTGGCTGCAGACACTTTCAGAGTTAATCACAAACTCTGAAACAAACCCAGACAGAGAACGATTCGTTTGGTTTTGTCCTACGCTGTTGTGTAACAGGCCTCTGACTAAAAATCACCAGAACAGCAGCTGATTCAAAGACACTGAGAATCAGACACACACTCATTGCAGCATATACAGACACTCGCTTTGATAGTATTTAATGTAAGTACAGGCCTGGCTAAATGTGACTGAAGCAGGTAAATCATTCTGTTCACAGTTCTCCACCGTTGTATTTTTATATTTCATTTTGCAGTTTTTGCACTATTATGATACTGATGTTTTTCCGTCTATACATCTGCGATGCATGATCACCTATGGCTGTGATGCAGATATGTGTGAGGAAACAATTCAGAAGAGACTGACAAAAGCGCCACCTAGAGGTCAGTGTTATACAATACAACACATGTGTGACACATAGAGACTTGGGAATGGACTCTTTTGACCACCTAGCAACCACCGTGATCACCCCAGCAACCACCTAGAACTGCCCTAGCAACCAGGACTGATGTTTATTCAGAGCGGCTTCGCTCTCTTCTGACGGACACGCCAAAGTTTAAAGAGTCGCAACTGGGAAATGGCAATAAAATGGAAATATGAACTCGTCTGTGCGGTAAACGTGTTAGTATTAGTATAATCTCTCTGATCAGTTTGTAATAATTGTGTTGTTTCTGTCAGTAACTGATCTTGAGCTCTCCATCTTCTGAATTCAAGATCTGTTACTGTCACCTGAGAAATGACCAAATATGAGTCAGAAATAACAAATATTATAAAACAGAGAGTTCTTGGAGCTCTCATAGATGGATGACTCTTGTTTATACTCGCTTCAGTCTTTGATTTCGTTTAGCATTGGGTTTAATCGAGGACAGAAGTGAAGATAAGAGTCCCATACGCATATATTAAATCTCCATATATGAAATATGTTGTCATGTGAAGTAGAAACATACATGAAACCTGTTAGAAATTGGAACCTTTTCAAACATTAATAGATATACCTAGCCTATACAAATGTGTTAATGCATGCGTAATATATTTTCGTACATGTGTCGTGTAGATCCATCCTAAAACTCGTCAATACATGTTGATATTTTATAAGTAAATATAAAAGATTAAAAAATGACAACTGTATGATAAATACATGTTGTTTTAAACATAGTTTTATAGTTGCATTTATAAAATAGCCTATATTGATGACAATATCCACCTTATTTTTCCCGTAAGAGCGGGCCATTTGTAAATTTAATGGGTTTTTTTGCTGCTTGATATTATAAACTGGTGTGTCTTAGCATATTATATTAATGCATTGTCTTAATTATGAACACACTGGTTTGTAGTGCAAACAGCTTTACTGCACGTGTGTTATTCGTCTCGTTATTTCTCTAATGAGCCGGAAGTCTTGCACATTCACAGAAAACAGCTTACGTCCACGTTGAAAAATAAGGTGGATACATGTTGCATAAAAAAATCATCAAATAGATATTATTAGCGTAAATATTTATACAGATTTTACTGTGGTGATGTGTTATCAACTTATTTCTTCATGTAACCAGAGAATGTGAAAAATATCGCCTTATAGGTAACATAAATAGCAATATCACTCTTGATTTAGGGCAGTGTATGCCATATATTACATCACCGTATGGTGTGCTAGGGTATTTAGACAAATAATAACACTTGAGAATGTGCACCTTTTTTAATTTCTTTGATATGAATAAATAATCCCATTAAATCATCATGTCTAATATTGCAATGCACAATCACATACTTGAGCTTGGACAAATGCTGATTCGTAATCGTGTAAGTCTTGAAGATCTTCTAGTCATCTTTCGCCTCAGCAATACTACCAGACTCTTCCTTTCACAGATCAGCCTGTAGCTGTGTAAATGATAAATGTCCACAGAAACTAAGCCAAAGCTAGGCCACATTCATGGGTTCCTCTGAGATAACATTAGTTCCTACTGAACCGTGCTCAGGACCGGCTTCTCCAGCTTGCTTACACAGATTCAGATGCTATCGAGTGTTTAGTGGTGAGCTGGTGCTCAATCACATGCTTTTCAGATGATCATCTCAACCACAGGTGAAGTCATAGTCCTGTCCAGATGATCCCACATGATTCAGATGTATTATCCCAAGATCCTCAGCGGAAATACATGCTCACCTTATTTATACCTGTGTATCACCACTAACCCTGAAATTAGCCCTCAAGCAATGTGTGCAGTGTGCCTAGTAATAATCCGCATATTTTAAAGTAAACAAAACATGTTTTGTGGCAGCCCTTGGAAGTCTAAAGGTTGAATGTTATGGTGTCTATGATCAGTGAAAAATTTATATTGTTTATTGGCAAATATCATGTCACCATATGCCACAGATATTTTCACGCTTCTAGTTTTTCCCCTATTGCATCAAAATGTCGAGGCTGACGAGCTCAAGTGTAAACATTATGAAATAATGGTAAATACTGTGAGAGAGACATACGAACTAATGAGTTGTGTGTCTGTGGCTTTTTTCTGATAATTATATTATGATTAAGGTGACTTCAATGGTGAAAATATCATTCAATTCTTATTTGGTATTATTTATGAAAAGAAAAGAAAATTGTTTTGTTTTTAATTGTTTTGGGGTCCCTATACTATTATTATTATTATGATATTTGGTTTGATTATTTATTGTTTGGTCCAGTTTTAATCCAGTTCACCACAAATTCTGACAATAATTTATGTAAATAACTATTATGAAAATCAAACAGTTTATTACATTCTAAGAAAATTATTAACTAAATAAATGTGAGAATATAAGCATGAGAAAATATAAATAGATTTAAAAAAGACATATACAGCAATTCTAACATTTGTAACTTTTTAAATGTTATTTTATGTTTGTGCTTTTGGAAATGACTCTTACTTCCTTAATTAGTAATCATGTAGCATTTTAGGCTCATTTTGAGCACATGTGTTGTTTTTTTGCAAGTCTAATTGTTTAGTTTTATGTATTTTTATATCAGGGTGTGCCTTCACCCAGAGACGTGATAAATACACTCAGTTTAAATATCAAATACACTCAGATATTCATCTGAAATATCATTTAATCTTGAGGAGCCTTCATAAGAGCCGAGGGAAGCTTTAGATTTTTAATGAGCATATTACTTAACATAGTCACTAGCAGGACTAGTTTGACTAACTAGCAGTTAACCAGTCAGTCTTACTTTTTGGACTCAAATTAGACCAGTAACTAAACTAAACAAAAACGTATGTCCAGTCTTAGCGAGAGAGAAAAATGAGACGACTAACTAAACTTTATAAAGACTAGTGTAAGCGGTTAGTGATTGGTTAGTAGCGCCCCCTGCCGGCCTCTGGCGGCGCCGCCGGGAACTGCAGCCGTTTAACTCCTTCCTCGCCTGCTGTTTGTGTCCTATCAGTGGAAGATGGCGACCAGAGTCCTTCAGAGCTCTTTCTCCGGCCTGTATCGGGCCGCACACACGGGCCGGGCAAAAGGACACGTTACCGCTGTTATCAGGTTTGATCTCAATTATTACCCGTCATAAACCTGCGTGCTTCGTGCTTCGGCGAAACTCTCAGCTCTGCATGTGTTAGCATGCATTAGTTAAAGACGTGATTACTGCGACTGCTGCTCTCAGATATATACCGACGCTTTCCTAATGCACTGACTGTGAGGCGTCTGCGCGAGCGGCTCAGCGCTTAGTGCTGCTTTGAGACAAACAGGAGACAGACGCGCGTGACTCTCAAGGTCATCATTCAGCAGAGCGCGTGGGGTCTTATGGTGAAGACACCGCGAGCTGTTTGAGCTTTCATGCACTGAGCAATGAAAGGCTTCATTAGTGATTGACTGATGCATGCAGAGCTTCAGAAAGGCCTTATGATCACCTGACATACTGTGACAGTGTGCTGTTATTATCTGTGCACCAAGGACAAATCATAAACGTGTGCATAGTCTTATGATGCAATGTAACATTCACGTCTATGTATGTGTAATAGTAATGCAGAAGTGGTCCTGTTTCAGGGCTCTGTCAGCATCTAATAACCGGAACCGAGAGGACAGCTGGTTCAAATCACTGTTTGTGCGGAAGGTGGACCCCAGAAAAGACGCTCACTCCCATCTGCTAGCCAAGAAAGAGGACAACAACTTATATAAAATCCAGTGTAGGTTCTGCCCTCTGCTGTAAGCACGCTCTCAGCGTGCGATTTGTTCATTAACTCAGTTATATTGCTTGTGTTGTAGTTCACAACGTGAAGCCCGAGTGCCTCGAGGCCTACAACAAACTCTGGTAAGTCAGCCTTCTCCAGCACGAGTGAGCGAGGTGTTAATACATGAAACCAGACTGAGCCTTGTGTCCGCAGTGATGAGGTGCTGCCCTCCATCCACGCTGACAAGAACTACCCCTGTGAGCTGGTGGGCACCTGGAACACCTGGTACGGAGAGCAGGACCAAGCTGGTAGGACCCCGCAGGAATGTTCAGAGAGACCGGAAGAAACGTTTGTTAAAGAGATAGTTCACCCAGAAATGAAAATGTGATGTTTATCTGCTTACCCCCAGGGCATCCGAGATGTAGGTGACTTTGTTTCTTCAGTAGGACACAAACGGAGATTTTAACTCAAACCGTTGCAGTCTGTCAGTCATATAATGTAAATGGATGGGAATCATGGCGTAGAGAGTAAAAAAACATACACAGACAAAACCAAATTAAACCCTGTGGCTCGAGACGATACACTGATGTGTAAAGACACGAAACCATCGGTCTGTGGAAGAAACTGAACATTGGACCATTGACACTCCTAATTGAGATTGTAGATAGAGTGTCAATGGTCCATTTGAGAGATAGGTGGCGGTAATGCACTTATAAGTCTGCGATCTGCCGTAAAGCAAGAAGAAGAAGACACGTCACGCGCTCAGGACATTTCGGACATTGCAGTGGATCACAGGTAAATAATGGTATAAATACTGTTCAGTTTCTTGCACAGACCGATCGTTTCGTGTCTTTACACATCAATGTATCGTCACGAGCCGCAAGGTTTAATTTGGTTTTGTTTGTGTATGTTTTTTTTGACTCTCAAAGCCGTGATTGCTATTCACTTCCATTATATGACTGACAGACTGCAACGGTTTGAGTTAAAAATCTTCGTTTGTGTTCTACTGAAGAAACAAAGTCACCTACATCTCGGATGCCCTGGGGGTAAGCAGATAAACATCACATTTCCATTTCTGGGTGAACTATCCCTTTAAGAGCTGAAATATAAAAGATAACTTACATACGTCTTGAGTTACAGCTATGCAGACCTGAAAAATGATTTATTATTATTATTATTATTAATATTTTGTCTTTTATCACTATTTATGTTGGTCTCTTTTCAGAAAAAATATTAACAAAATTAACAATTTTATTGAAGGGAGTTTCTGAAATTTGGTTGATTTGACGTGTGTATATTATATTAGATGTTAGTTGTTTGAGGAAGAGGTTTGTGTTTCTGTGAGCGCTGACACACTAGCATGTGCCTCTGGTTCACTATCTAGTGCACTTGTGGCGGTACAGAGGAGGATATCCAGCTCTGACTGAAGTCATGAACAAACTGAAGAACAACAAGGTAAACGACTGCACACTAGAAGATATTATGGGTTTGTGTGATGAATATACACCCATAACTTCAGTGCACTCATATTCACTATAATCCACATCTCATAACTCTTCAGCACTGTTCAAGGCGAGTGTTAGCATGATATACATGGTGAAAGTAGCATGTTTTGTTGAATGGTTATGGTGACTTGCTAATAATGAGCTCACGTCTGCAGGTGGCGCTGTTCACACACAATCACGCGACTTCATGTTATGTTTGAAACTATATTTACATTTCCTGAGGTTTTCAGATGTTATCCCACACTGTAGTGTTTTTACGGCAGTGTAAAGTGCACTTTGAGCCCTGCACACGTTCAGCTGTTGAAATGCTGTCTCAAAGCGCTGACGTCTGTCGTGTTGAGCAGGACTTCCTGGAGTACAGGAAGGAGAGGGGGAAGATGCTGCTGTCCCGCAGGAACCAGCTGCTGCTGGAGTTCAGCTTCTGGAACGAGCCGGTGCCCAGAGGTGTGTGTGTGTGTGTGTGTGTGTGTGTGTGGTAGTTATCGTTGCAGTTGTATATAATGTTTTGGAGTGGTGATGGAAACACTGAAACGGTCCGTTTGAGATCTTGGCAAACTTTCTTAATAACGACACACACTCTTTAGTTGATCAGTTTTCTAGTGTTGCTTCATTTATATGGCCAGCAAAACCAAAGTGACCAGACTGTAGGTGTTACACATCACCAGTCCTACAGGCTGGCCGAAGGCTTTTTGAAATGAATTCAGATTCACGGTTGTCCTTTTTCTTGTCTCCTGCAGCCCGGGACCATGATTGAATGGGGCAACTATTGGTAAGAGCGCAAGCAATACATAACTCAGAAGACTGAATTATAAAATGTTAAGAGCTCAAAATACAATACAAATCATTGAAATGAAGTGTTTTATATGCATGCACTGCTGTAATGCAGCATATTTAATGCTTTCAAGCTCATTATTCAGTGCTACAGACCGTGTTCTCAGATCAGTTCAATCTCACAAACGTGGGATTGTTGCGATCTTCAAATTCTCATGCTAGATTCCTGAGAGTGTTTATGATTTCAGAAGTCATTATGATGTGATGTTACACACACTGTCTATAATCGAGAACTGCATTGCTCATGGCGTCATAAAAGTGAAGAACCTATGGGTGTTCCCTAGTGCTGCCTTACATTCTGTTGAATTGTATATTGTATGGGGATAGGGAATTGTATGATTTTAATGAGAAAGCATCACCTAACGAGTCCACGTTTTTAGATCTGAAGTACGTTCTGACGACGCAAACCTCCTGAGCATGTAATTAGTCATTTGTTTAATGTCGGGAATTTCACTTCCGTATTAAAAATCTGAATAAAGATTTATGCTTTGTATTTATGCGTTAATTCGCCTTGTACATTCACTGTTTATGTAATTATGTTGTTATAGTGCTTTTATTCATACAGTAGGCTAACTGCAAATGTTTCAATAATGATTTTGTTAACAGCATGCATTTTGAAGCAGTTAATGATTTCAATGAATAATTAGTTAAACATGCATAACATTTCACTTCTGTGGCAACTGTAATGATATAAAAGGCCTAAGATCCGAGACTTGTTCACATTCATCACATGCCATCCAGCAGCTGACTGAAGCACTCTGCGCTCTCCTTCTGGTGTAAATACAGCTTTCATTAGTGATTGACTTCACAGTAGCTCTAACAATGGAAAGAGCGTGCCTTCAGTGAGTCCCCAGCCAATGCATGAGCATGAAAAAACATAAAGCCTGAATGCAAGTCACTACCAAATGCGTCAGTGTTGATTTTTGATCATTTCATTCCTGGTTGAATTCATTCCTCTGTCTCACTGCTGCTGTGAGCAGGCCTTTATAAAGAGCTGTGCGATCTTCATCATTCAGAAGTGTGTGATTATTGTTCCTGTTCCTCAGGGCCAGAGCCATCAGCTACCGGCAGCACAACCGCGAGGCAGTGGGCGGCTTCTTCTCTCAGATAGGAGACCTGTATATGGTGCATCATCTCTGGGGTGAGAGAGATCACACGCCGCCAGACAGACTCCCAGAAGTGCTCAAAGTCACGTTTACTTCTATAACGCTTCCTGCAACACAGACCGCTTTATCATTAATAACAGAATAAATGATGCAAACCTCTGATGTGTGTAGTGTTGTCCATCTGTTTCAGCGTATAAGGACCTGCAGTCCAGAGAGGACACGAGGAACGCCGCCTGGCAGCATGAGGGCTGGGATGAAGTCGTCTATTACACCGGTAAACACGCGCCACAGCTACATCTCTGCCAACACTAGATGCATTTAACTGAAGTCTTCTCCTGGTCTACTAGTAGAAGTCATTCCTGTTCATAAGTCTGCATGCATTTATAGACGAGAGCAGTTTTAACGTGTCAAAAACTCCTGGAAGTGATTTTGCTGCTCTAAAACAGCATTAAAGTCGGATTTAGTGTCAGTATTTCCATTTGATTAACGCTGATGTCTAGTGATTTTGTTATATTTTGACGCAAAATGACCCGCGAGTTCAGGCTGGTTGTGTGTGTTTGTGGTGTTTTCAGTGCCCCTCATTCAGCACATGGAGTCCAGGATAATGATCCCGCTGAAAGCGTCTCCTCTCCAGTAATGCATCCATCCAAATCATCCCCATGAGCTCCAGACCAGACCGAGACGTCAGATACTTCCACTGCCGTGATTATCTCATGATGCCACCCAACGTCACGCACAACACACTTGCTCGGACCGTAATAATTGCACCAGCAAACCCAACTGAATCTGTAGGAATGAAGGCTGTAAGTTTTGAGAATCTTTCTTATGACGTAGACATATCTGAAATCTGCTGCTTGTGTTTATCTGTATATCGCTCGGCCTAGATTTGTTAAATGAAGTTTCGTTGGAATATGTAAAGGATATAAAAGTGCATTAAATTACTGTAAGTGTAGAGTATTAACCCCTTCTGGTCTGGTGGCCGCTGCATCTTTGATTCACCAGATCTCAAAACAACCCTCATATTTGAATGCCTTAGTTAATGCAGACGTGTATGAACGGACTTCTGTCAGAAAGCAAACGTTTACCGTTCACCCTGCTGCAATCTATTCATGTATTTATTGCATATTTATAAGCTGTAAATATAAACCCCCACATGGAGACTGTTTCATGTTTTAATAACCTACAGCAGAATCCATCCTACATATTCAGATCAGTTATTAACCAGATGAAATCTAAATACACTGTTGGTTACTAAATAGCCCTCGTTTAAGCATATCTGTGCAACTGGAGCTGGACAAGCCTCGTCAGGGACGGGTTGTGTGCAAATTATGTATTTTTTTTAGTTGCTGTATTTTGTTTTACAATTCTTCTGTTTCTACATAGACATGTGTTGTGGATGAAGCTGTTCTGATCTGATTTAGTTTGTGTGATCGCAGCATGCTCGGGCTACTGTACGCTGATCTGACGGGGCTTTAACAGCAAACAATACTGTAATCAATAAATCAAATCTACCACACTGTGTCATGTTAACACCGATAAAAGACACGCAACAGCTGTTACTTGTTTATTCTCTCTTGATCAATATTAAAAATGCTCTTTTTCAAATATGCATACTGAAGTAGACAGTTAGCTTAGAAACAGTCAAGATATAGTGTTCTCTCGAAGTCTGACATCCAAACATGAGTCAAGTTTCGTCCGTTAAAATGCTCACTGTACAGTACAGCAGACGTCTGCTGGTTTGCATCATCTTCTATATAAACAATCATTTCAATAAACTCAAGACATACGACCATTAAAAATAGTGCATTAGGTGAAACTAGGAAAGACAGAAAGCTAGTGCACTAGCATAGAGTATGCTAAACTCCAGTCAGTCGTCTCTAGATCTTCTCCAGCTCTTTAAGCAGCTCTCCGAAGCTGGAGACGTACCACGAGGACTTCTCCTTCACCTGCTGCCGCACCACGTTCCCACCAAACCCAATGAAGGCGCTCTGAAAGCACAGGACAGACTGTAAGTACTGCAGCTCGTGCATCGGTCAGAGTATGATGTACTCACCGCAGGAGGACAGGCCTCCAGGTCCGTGGCTCCGTCTCCAATCATCACGATGTTTCTGAAGCCGTACTCCTCCTGCAGCATGCTGATGACCCGGCTCTTCCCGCCGGACTGTGCTGTGGGCTGAGACTCGTCGAAGCCGGCGTACTCTCCTGAGACAAAGCACACTCGTGTTAGTCACTAGCTAGCGCTAGCGCCCGCGAGCCAGCGGCAGCTCTTACCGTTGAAGAAGAACTTGAGGCGGTTTGCGTAGACGTGATGGAGCGGGATGCTGAGCTGCGACGCCACGTGTTCAACGATGCAGCGGAACCCACCGGAGACGAGGAACACCTTCACGCTACGCTGATGAAGCTTCTCCACCAGCTCCCTGAGCACAGAAACACGCAGCATCGGGATAGAGTCGCTATAAAGTCTATAGTGTGGATCATGTACAGTGGCTAGAGGCACTTTAGCATTTCAGTCTTACTGTCATGAGTTCATGTCTCATCTTGTATATGTCCCGGGAACTTGAGAACCATAAACAGTCATAAAGAATCGATTATTACACAAAATCTGTGCCAATATCACAGACCATAATTATTTCAGTATCACTTGGCCACTGAGTGTAGTTTGGGCTCCTCCTCAATGCATCCTATAAATGCTGTCACATGTTGTGCACACACTCAGTCTGGTTTTCTTCATTAGTAACATGCAATTATACAGGAGGTGTTGAGTTTTATCTTTAGCTCCTTGCAGTCTTATGTTTATATATATTACAGTATATTGTGTATAGTGTAATATACAGTATGCAGAGTATATAAAGTGTATATTATGTATAGTGTCAAGTGTATATATTGAATAGTATGTATAATGCATATTGTGTATTGCATGTATAGTCTATATCAGGGGTCCCCAAACTGCGGCCCACCCCCACATTTGGCCCTCTGAACAATGCCAGAGACATATTTTGAAAATTTAATTTTAAATATACGGTTTCACTTATATCATGTCTATATTTGATAATAAATATTGGCTTTCAGACTAAAATTTCTTTTAGTTATTAACGTAGCCTAATTATTTGTTAAATTCACCTACCAACAGAATGGTACGTTCAACATAACGTACCATCGCGATCGAACAGGTGGCGCGCGAACCAGCGAAAGAATTCAAAGAGACGACAAAATGGCCAAGCGGTTGGGAAAGAGAACGGTTGATTCAGAATGCAGGGTATTTAACCAAAAGTGGACAAGTGATTCTTTTTTTGTTCAGTGCAAAGAAGTGGCTGTTTGTCTCATCTGTCCAGAAACAGTGTCTGTGTTCAAAGAATACAATCTGCGCTGACACTGAAACCCGCCTCAGAGAAAAGTATGCTAGCTTGCAAGGCCAAATCAGAGCAGACAAAGTGTCGAAGCTAAAAAGTGTACTATCAGCGCAGCAGAATACATTTGTACGCCAAACCCAGCTGAAGCAGTCATCCGTTCGAGCTAGCTAAACTGATTGCAACCAGCGGTAGGCCATTCAGTGACGGCGAGTTCGTCAAGAAATGTATGAATGCTGTTGCGGAGAAGGTGTGCCCCGATAAGAAAGATGTCTTAAATGCAGTGAGTCTGTCCGCAAGTACAGTCACCAGACGAATTGAAGAAATGGGGGATAATGTATATGCCCAGCTGCAGGAGAAAGTGAAAGAATTAGAATTTTTTGCATTAGCACTGGATGAGAGCAATGACGTGCAGGACACAGCACAGCTGCTAATTTTTCTTCGCGGAGTTAGCTCAAACTTTGAAGTGTCAGAGGAGCTAGCAGCCCTACAAAGTCTAAAAGGCACTACGACAGGGGAGGATATTTTTGGTAAAGTGTGCCAAACGATGGGAGAGCTGGGTCTAGACTGGTCTAAGCTGGCCAGCATCACTACTGACGGGGCTCCTGGTATGGTTGGCGTGTCGAGGGGGCTTATAGGACGCATGAATAAAGAAATGGAGGAAAGAGGTCTAACCCCACCGTTACAAGTCCACTGCCTGATTCACCAGCAAGCTCTCTGCTGCAAAGTTCTGAAGTGGGAATCAGTCATGAAGGTGGTGGTGTCATGCATAAACTTCATCAGAGCAAACGGACTTAAACACCGGCAGTTCCAAGCCTTTCTCGCCGAGCTAGAGTCTGCTCACGGAGATGTGCTTTACCACACTGAAGTCCGATGGTTAAGCCGGGGCAG